AAAAAAAAAAGTGGTCACCCATTACAAGAAACTGGTGGACTCCACTGCCAGGTTCAGTAGGTATTTGTGAGACTTGGCAGGGGCACTAAAGCTCTGTTTTTTTCCGCTCAACCTATGGGCTGAATAAAAAAATAGAGCAGATTCCTCCATCAACGCTGCAAGCGCTTTGATCAAGGAATCCCTGCTGTTTCACCCACCGGCCCGAACAGAGGTGGCAGCTTATTGGCTGCCGGCTCTGTTTGAAGATTTTCCAACTAACTCTTTCAATCAGCTGATTGTGGGATGCCGGCTGAGAGGTTCGTAAAGAACTGGCTGAAATTCGCATAGCATATGGCCACCTTCAGGGCTTGTTCACACAGTGCGTTCCAGAGTGGTCAGCTGCTGGAACGCACAGTATCGCCTTCCAGTCCGCACCAGAACGCACCCACTGGACCAGAACATTAGTGCCTGCGTTCTGGTCCAGTGGGATCTAAAAAACAATAGTGCTGATGTGCCACCCGTTCTGGTGCGGGCGATTGAACTGCGGGCGGGGGGCATGGCTGCGGTGCTATTGACCTCAATGCACCGCCACACCCCCTCCAACCCCTCAACACAGTAAACCGGCCGGGATGTGATACAGTGCGTTCCAGCAGCTGACAGCTCTGGAACGCACTGCTTATGGTGTGAACAAGCCCTCATGGTAAGCTGTAAGCACACATGCATTAACAATTAGGTGCTGCAGTAAAAAAATTTTACAACTGAGCCCATAGGTCTATATTAACCCCTTTATGACCAGAGTTTATAAAAGCCTAGGTTGCCAGACCAACCTTGAACCTTTTAGGGTGCTTGGATAAACTTGCTTGACAACAACTCTATGAATAATGTATTTACCGGTCTAATTTTTCATTCGAGGGCATTCAAGACTTTTATTTGGTGCACAATTTTAATTAACATCCTGCATGTTTTTTTTGCACTGACAAATGGAATTATGGGGAAAAGAGATTTTGTAGGCATGGCATCTGCCAAAAAAGGGTTATTTTGTTCAGCCAATTTTCTAATGCAGAAGCCCATGCCATGTGCAATGCAGCTGTGATTGGTTGGACGTTGAAGGAACATAATCTGTGTTCTTTCACCCAATCGACATTCTTCAAATGATAGAATATCAACTGTACACAGTACCTCATTCGATTTAAATACTGTCCCTGCCTCAACCAGCCAGTTTGATGATGTACACTGGCGAGTACAAAGATTGAGATACCATTTGAAAAATAATTTAAAGTGACACTGACACTGAAGTTAAATCTTAAAAATGCATTCAAGTACCTTTAAGGAGAACTATGAGATGAGTGATTTCCACTCATCTCATAGTTCTAGCCGACCTGTGACAATGAGACTGTCGCAGGTCGGCTCAGTAGATCGGGAGGTGAGCGAACACATACCGGGTTCGCTCACCTCTCGATCCTGTCACGGCTGGATTCCCCTCTCCATGCTCCGATCTGCCAGCGCTGACTGGCGGAAAGGACGGGGAGGGGGCGGGTACAGCTGGCTCTGCCTCTAGATAGCAGCTAGGCGGATCCTGGCGTCCAGGTCGGGATCCGCTCCGGCTGCGGCGTCTCAGTATACCGCGAGCTGTAGCTCGCAGTATACTGAGCTTAGGGTAACGGGAGGACGCTAGTTTGTGTCCTCCCGTTACCCTAAGGAGAACTATGGGGAAAAACACTGACCCCCATAGTTCTCCTTTAACTATGAACAATACTGTCCTTTATCACTCGGCTGTAGATCCTCAAATCATCTCTGAATTGGTGCTGACACTGTCCTTCCTTCTGGAGGGTGCTACTTTTGTTTCCCATGATCCCTGTGTGTCTTGTAAAGTAGCCACCACTCCAAGATCACTCCCATTAAGGACTACAATCGCAATACAAATTAGTAAACTAAAAATTAGATTGTAGTCCATCACGGGAGTGAGCTTGGAGTAGTGACTACTTTACAACACACACAGGGACCATGGGGAACAAAAGTAGTCACCTTCCAGAAGAAAGGACAGTGTCAGCACCAATTCAGAGATTTGAGGATCTAAAGCAGAGTGACGCACAAATAGGATACATTTTTGTTAGTAGGGTACTTGATTGCATTTTTAAGATTTAACTCCTGAGGTTAGTGTCAGGTTAAGATTTTTTTTTAAAAGGTATACATAGCGGGATTAAATGGTATTTTATATTTGTCTTAATTGGAGGTTGTCTTCTATTCTAGATGTAGAGTAATTCAAATCCCTTTGTTGTTGATAAAAACAAAATGTAATCTGAAATTTCCCTCCATGTACTATATGACCACAGTTAATATTCTCAATCACGGTGTGAATGGTGATCCACAGCAGTGATTCTCAACTTGTGTAACCTCAGGACCCACATTTGTCCTTGGTCATTAAGTCGCGACCCCAGACGCACTGCAGTGGAATGCATGGCATTGCAGTACCAGACGTTCTGGTGCAGGCGATCAGACTGTGGGTGGGAGGTGCGTTTGGAGTGTCATTCAAATTAATGGCAACACAACACACCTTCCATACCAGAATGCACAGTAGGTGTGATTGCGTAGTATAGTGCATTAATCGCATGAGACTTTGGGATTAACGCACTGTACTAGTGTGAACTGACCCTCAAAAACACTGACTGACACACACACAATCACAGCAAAAAAAATTATAATTCCTGATCGCCTATATGTGAAACACCCGGTAACGGGTGTGTGCAACGGTCGTGTCTTTTCAAATGGGGGCACGCGTGAGCAGAAAAAAATTGCCGTCTGGAGACGGCAACCCGCAGATGTAGCAGTGCCGTCCGTCCGTTTTTTTACTACGGGCGGACGGCAAGAGGTTAAAGATCCACCCAGTCTCCCTACCTTATGAGAACTGGAGTGGCTCCTCAGCTTGGGGTCCAGTGTGGACTGCAGTGCTGTGACAGAGCTCCTTCCATATTTGCATTGTTTGTACAGCTCCCTTGCACCCCCCATAGAGGTGCTGGGAGCAAGAATGTGACGTCAGTCCAGTCACCTCTACAGGGCACATATGGGAGCTGTAAGCAATGCACGTATAGATGGATCTCCCTTTTGACCATACTTCCAGCCCACCTCAAGCTGACACGCAGAGCCGGGCAGCATATATTGAATGGCTGCTTGAACGAAAACTGACGGTGCTGCTCTAGGGGGAGGCTGAAGAGTCTCATCTAAAAAAGTGGAAGGCATGTGGCGACCCACTGAACATGGGGTCGCAACCCACTTTTGGGTCACGACCCACCAGTTGAGAACCAAAGATCTACAGTATGTTGCAGTTGTAATCTAGGACCTCACACCTTTTCTTTAAGGTGTATGCGTATAAAAACTAAAAATGCATTTTTTTCAACCTCTTGTGTTCTGTGTTGTATCTACATTCAAAGGAACCACAAATGTTTTTTTTCTGTTGAAAAGGAAAGTGATCTCGTGTCTAGGTGCATTGGGGCATTGAGTGTCTTTGTGAATGTCATAAAGAAACTGTGTTGTGTTGGAGAATGTAGATACCCAAATATGTGATGCTTATATACACGCCTGTTGAGAGGGTGAGTTGCACACTGCCCAGGTATCTTTAGGCCCCGTTCACACTTCACATACCCCGGCGGCACGTGTGACCATGCATCGCGTTTATGTGCATTTGCATGTCAGCCCATCATTTCAATAGGCTGCCACATGCATGAGAAAGGCGGCAAAGAAGCTCATGCAGCATGTTCAGCTGTGAGCATTGTGTGTTTTTATGACCACGCGTTTGTAGGTGATCAATGCTTGTTTTACCAGCCGCGTTTGGGATGCTGTTAACAAGTATGGCACTGTAAGTGCGTTGCTCGTTTTTGATGTGGTGCATGAACGCAGAGCCTTACATATCTTTCAACTTGCAGCCAAATAGCTTTTTACCTACTAAAATTGCTTCTTCTGTTAGGAGGGACCATGAGGGGTTTGTGATAGCTCTGTCTGTACTGTGCTGGCTGGTTTTCACTAAAATTTGTAAAGAAGAGTTGAACATTTACTTTCCTAAGAAAGGGTTAAAGGATTACAACCCCGGCTTCTGCATTGTATGTTAATGAGAGAAACACATTCCTATCCTAAGTCTTTTCTAAAGGACAGATCACTGTAGAGGTGCTAAAAAAAACTTGGATTTAGTCAGTTTGCCTGCTGCAACAAAACATCTAAAAGGGTAATTAAAAAAATATATTTTTGGTATGCTGTGTGACTAGTGTGACTAGGAACACATTAAAAACATATAGAGGGGTTTTCTCAAATTTGACTGAAAAAGTGGAAATACAGTTTAAAGTAGTATTAAGGTCTTGGCGTTTTTTACCTTAATGACTTCCCTGCATTAGGGTAAAAACTGCCCAGGACCTTTTTTTTTTTACTGCAGTCCCCCCCACATTTACCTCTCAGCTGCTCTCCTCCCCCCAGCCGGTCCCGAAGTGATCCTCCGTACCCCAAACTTCCTTGTTGCAGAGGAGCCATAGGCTCAATCTGCCATCAATCAAAGGAAGGGGCGTGGCCTGCCACAGGGCTGTGTGTTGGAGGCTCTGACATGAAGAAATTAAGCTCTGCCTCTACTAAGATGGCCGCCTCCACACATAGACACAGTTCAGAACAAGGCATGGTAGTCAGTAATGGGGAAAGATTCTTTGCAGGGCGACAACAGGCAATACGGGTGACTGGTCCTTTGGCCTTTATATTTTTGGCCACAGCTTCCAGAGTTCAGTTCTTCTTTAATGTAGCTTTCCATTCAGTCATGTGTTAGTGCTCCGAATTACAGAAAACGTAGCCAGTGCTTTTAATTAGGGATTTTTTATGGTTATTGGGAGTGCTGTAATTTTACAGTTCACAGGACATATATTTATGCTTCTTTTTCTAGGGGATGAAGGAAATTGCTGTTTGATAGTAATTGGCTTTAATATAAACTCGTGCCGAAAAGTTGTCCCTGCAACCTCATAAAATGAATTCCTCACTCATTATTTTAACAGGAAATCAACTTTCTTTAATGTGTTGACTAAAAGCCAGGCTGCCGCCGAGAACTTTCCATTTTGCACCATTAATCCAAATGAGAGCCGAGTGCCCATCCCTGATGACAGATTTGAGTACCTGTGTCAACAGCACAAGCCGGTGAGGTATGAATTTTAGCCTATTTTGGAAGGATACCATTGTATATAGTTTAAAGAGAACCTCTCATGGCTGGAATAGGGGAAACATTTTAAGGAAGAACTCCAGGAAAAATATTCTTAATCCTTGCATTGGGGCTAACCATGCACTGCAAGGGTTAAGTACTTGTTTTCATCTAGGTGCAAAAATAGAAAAAAGTTATATTCACTCGAACCTCGCAGCTGGTGCTTTATCCAGCCTGTCTCCCCCTCCACTCCAGTGGTCTAAGTTCCCGTGAGTCATCATGTCCAATACACTGTCTATAGAACATGAGGACACTGACGGACATACCATCAATGGATTGGTGGAGGACACAGACTGGAGGGAGAGCTCTAACAGTCGGCCTTCTGCAAGGTTCAGGTGAGTATAACTTTATTTTCGCACCTGGGCCAAAATAAGCACTTAAGCCTTGCAGTGCAGGGGGAGCCCCACTGCAAGGGTTAATATATATATATGTATATATATATGTATATATATATATATTTTTCTTGGAGTTCTTCTTTATTTGTGCAGCATTGCTTATGAAAAATGTATTTTTGCCCCCTTATTTATCTTTATGTCATTGTGTCTGACTTTTCAGCCTGAGGATCGCTGTCAGGACCTGGGAGATAGTGAGGTTAGACGGTGGTCCTCTGAGCAAAACATTTGAAAAATTATAACTAAATATAAGTAAACATTCTCTCCCTCCTACTCATGTGGCCCAAGTATTTATGCTTAGGCTGTCAGATTGTACTTGCAACCCTGACCATCCCTTGATGTCTGTGACCATCTTTAGACTGGATTCACATGGGAAGTAAAGGGCAGCTGTCAATGACCTCTAAACAACAGGCCTGTTGTAGTTTACTGTCATTTGGCTTTGTACACATGAAAGCAGTGCAGTTGCCTGACTGTTATGTGCACTGTTTGGGTCAGGACTGTCTATTAATTATCCACAACGCCCATCACAAAATGCAACGTTAAAATTGGGGGCGCCAGATACTCGTTTTACATTCAGTGATGGGAGGATCGGGTGTTTAAGCCGAGGCTAGGCAGAGGAGAGGCCAAGGGATATTGTGAAATTTTGCAGAGCTAGGTTTCTGGCTGGTCACCTATAGAACTTAACTTATAATTTAATTTAACCAAAAACACAACACACTTTTTGACCTGTTCTTTTTATTTTGTATGTTTTATAGTCTATACATAGGTTGGTCTTGCTTGCACAGAATACAGCAGCATAATACAATCTGTAAGATCCGTTTCATAGCAATATTGAACCTCTTGTGTGAAATAATTGAAGGAAGGCAAATTTTAGAATGGGTGCCCATAGGAATCAGCCTTCTTTAAATACACTATATTGCCAAACATATTGGGACATCCCTCCAAATCATTGGATTCAGGTGTTCCAGTCACCTCCATGACCACAGGTATATAAAATCAAGCACCTAGGCATGCAGACTGCTTCTACAAACATTTGTGAAAGAATGGGTCGCTCTCAGGAGCTCAGTGAATTCAAGCGTGGTACCGTGATAGGTTGTCACCTGTGCAATAAGTCCACCCGTGAAATTTCCTTGCTTCTAAATATTTCACGGTCACCTGTTAGTGGTATTATAATAAAGTGGAAGCAACGGGGAACAACAGCAACTCAGCCACAAAGTGGTAGGCCACATAAATGATGAGCCACAGTGCGCAGGAGTCACCAACTGTCTGCAGAGCCAATAGCTATAGAACTCCAAACTTCACGTGGCCTTCAGATTGGCACAACAACAGTGCGTAGGCAGCTTCATGGAATGGGTTTCCGTGGCCGAGCCGCAGCATCCAAGCCTTTCAATCACCAAGTGCAAAGTGTTGGATGCAGTGGTGTAAAGCACGCCACTACTGGACTCTAGAGAAGTGGAGACGTGTTCTCTGGAGTGACGAATCACGTTTCTCTGTCTGGCAATCCGATGGACGTGTCTGGGTTTAGCGCTTGCCAGGGGAACGGTACTTGCCTGACTGCACTGTGCCAAGTGTAAGGTTTGGTAGAGGGGGGGACATCTGTCTCCTGGAGTCATGTCTGTGGCTGTGAGAATCTTGCAATGCCTCATGGGATTTGTAGTTTCACCACAGCTGGATGGCCGGAGTTTGGCTACCCCTGATCTAGAGACAGAGCCAGCTGTACCCGCCCCCTCACCCGTCCGTTCCGCCAGTCAGCGCTGGAGCATCAGACAGGGGAGGGGGGGAATCCCTGCAGGGAGCCGTGAGTGACAGTCACGGCTCTCTGCAGGCAGAGGATCGAGAAGTGAGCGAGCGACGGTATGTGTTCGCTCACTTCCTGATCTATTGAGCCGATGTGTGACAGTTTCATTGTCACACTTCGGCTCGAACTATGAGGATAAATGATTTTCATTCGCCTCATAGTTCTCCTTTTAAAGTATTTCCCTTTTCCTTACATTCTGTTGGGATTTTCACAGGAAAAGGAAAAAAGGTTAAATTCCACCAACAATAATGAAAACTTGTATAAATGTAAGTTCACGCTGTGGATGTAGTTAATATTCTAAACTCAATATGCAAAA